TTGACTAAAACTAGACTAAAATACTTTAGATTTTCTTTGACTAAAACTAGACTAAAAAGTTGAGACTTTTAGTCGACTAAAACTTGACTAAAACTAAATAGGATAAGGTTGACTAAATATGATAAAAATCTAAAAAGGACATTTAACAAGGGACTAAGACTAAGACTAAAATTGAAAATAGCTGACAAAATTAACACTAGTGGAAAGTAAGAAATGAAGGGCCCTGTCAATTAAAAAAAAAATTTAAATTACATATTTTTTTACATTTTTTATTAAATTTATTAAAACATTCTGTAAATAATTTAATATAATCAATATGCCAGTGTACCTTAATTTGAAAAAAAAAAAAACATTAATCAAATTTATCATATCGAGGTATACAGATACATGCATCCATTTGAGCTTGCAAACTGAATTGCAAATGTATAGCCTATTTATAATCATTGTATGTTTATAAAATGTAATATGCTTTACGGTATAATCTCCCTATATTTCCCCATGCCTTGATTAAAATATGAAAGTAGAAGTTAAAAGTTGTATTGCATTATGAGATGTATTTTGTAATATTTCCTTCCTAATGAAACTTAATGTCATGATTTTTATTTTCTTTTTTTCATTCAAGTTGCAACAACAATGCCAGCTAAATATCAACGTTTTTATTTTGTTTTTGTTTTTTTAATTATTATGTATATTTAGGATACATAAATGAGCAGCTTGCACATTCTACTATACATTTTTATAAATGATAAATATATGCTTTCAATGATAAATATATAATTTTTGGATGAACGAATTATTTTCCTAAATGTGTAGAGTCAAACATGCTCATTTACCTATAAATGGATTTCATTTTTTATTTTATTTTAATTGATTTATTTTTATTATTTTTAAAAAGGTTTTAATTGAGTTTTATTAGCATCATGTTGTCTAAATCCTGTCGGTATGTAGTTATTTTTACTGCATCTAAACAACAATCAGAAATTTCCTATCTTGTTACCATTTGTTGTCCCCTTAGTAAGACCCTTTGTTTGTATTTATTTATTTATTTGATTTGATTTGATTTCACTTTAAATACTGTAGAACTTTTAGATGACTGATGTTTCATTTCCGGATGAACTCATCATTTTTCGAAAGGTCCACAGGGTCAGCCATGCTTGAAAAAATAGCTGAAGAAATAGCCATAAATGGTTATGCATAACATCACATTTCTCACAATTCTAAAGTCTTTAACAAGAAAAGGATCAGGATATGAGCACTGCCAGATGGTGAATGGTCAGTTTGTTTTAATTGACGAAAGCACAGGTGGCATTCAGGAGCTTGAGACACACCTGTGTACCTGCAAAGATGCTGAACGTCAGATTATCTGCATCACAGACAGGATGTTCAAACCTCATACGCAATCATATATGTGGTCATTCGACATGTACTGCCATTTTGCTGCAAGCTTGATGGAAAATTTGATTAATTTGACACATTTATGACCATATCCTTCTTGATAAATTCATATGGATGTCTACAAAGCCACTCAGGACACTTAAGACTAGTTATTTACACGAGACCATTAGTCTTCATCTCATTCTCCATATCAGCTGCTAAATGGTTTATTAATCATGTATTGTATATTTATTTAGCAGGTTTTAGTATGATAAGGATTTACTAATCCTCATCATACATGTATACAGGAGTTGTAAATTATTCACACCCTGCTGTAAATATAATGTTCATTACATAAATTTTATTAAACGTCTCATCAAACATCATTTAGAGAGGCAGAGGAACTGCCGCCCTCACACACACACACACACACACACACACACACACACATGCCATCACTGGACTTTCGTAATAGCATGTTGACTTTTTTTCTGTCACATACACCACAGAAAGCTGGCAGACCCTCCCTGCAGGGTGGGGAGGGAAAGGTGAATGAGAAATGATATAAAAGAGGGTATGAAAACAAATCCAACAGTACTGAAGCTCTACCTGTAGACCTCTCTCACCTCCCACCATGGAGTGGAGAACATCTACAGTCTGCATACTGCTTCTGGCACTTACCGGCATTCAGGTTGATTCAAAGACAGGTAAGAGTTAACTTTCAGTCAAAAATGTCCTACTTGAAATGGTTCTTGAGGGGTTTCATCTGTCTTTTTTATTTTATTTTATTTTTAAAAACAGTTTTAAATTTTTTTTTTATTATTAGCATGATATTTCTCTGACTGTATGATTTTTAAATTTTTTAAAATCACATCTGTCTAAATCCTGTCCTTAATAATATAATTATTTTATATTAACAACCAGAAATTACTTATATTGTATTTGGTGTCCCCTTAATAAGACACCTTTTTATTTTATTTTATTTTATTTTATTAGTTAAGTTTAGTTCAATCAGTATACAATTTGGAAGCTTTTATATTTAAGATTAAATATATGAAATGTTAAGTGTGTTAGAATTTGAATGTACATAAGTTAAGTAAAAAAAATTTTTTTTAAATTAAATTACATTTTTTTAAAATCAATATATGTTTCTTGAGGATATATACAACCAGAAATTACTTCTATTGTCACAATTTGGCATCCCCTCAATAAGACACCTTTTTATTTTATTTTATTTTAAGTTCAATCAGTATACAATTTGGAAGCTTTTATATTTAAAATTCAATATATGACATTTTAAGTGCATTAGAATTTGAGTATGTACATCCGTTATTAAGTATAACAAATCATTTTAAATTCACAGCTTTTTTTATCATTATATGTTTCTTTAGGATTGTAACCTTGACCATGGCAATGTTGATGCAAAGTTGAATTTCAAAGATGATTTTATCTTGTCAAATAGCTTGATGTTGTGGTTGAAAACAGCATTGGTGTCAGCATCTGGAAAGAAAGAAAAAACAGGAACCAACCAGCTGTTGACAGTTGTGAAGAGCATAGTTTCATCACCTGAACCTGATACTATCAGTGCCATTGATTACTTACCTTAGAAGTTACTAAATATTTTCAGTTGTGTCAAAAAGTGACAAAGTTCATTTACTTCCCTTCATGATGACTTGAAGTTCAGCTTGATCAACTTTCCATACATTTGTGGATTGACAAATGTAAAAGGGACCAAATGCAGGAATTATCTGAGAATGCCTGAATTTTAATTGAGTTTGCAAACATAATTGTAATTAAAATTTAAGGACACATAATTCAAATGTAAATGCATTGAAATAACTGCTGTCAGCATAGATTTGATGTTTTACATACATATATTATTTCAGCGATCAACACTTGAAAAGCAACTTAAAGAAATTTGTATTTAATAAATTATATTTTACTTTATGGGCTGTGGTAGAAGAACAAAAATTCCCAAAATGCTCTAAAATTTTTTCAAAAACAAAACTTTTCATATTTCTTTGTTTTCTCCCATTTTTTGCAGTCTATCCCAGTAACCATGTCAACAACATCTGTAGCATGTGGGGAAACTTCCACTTCAAGACGTTCGATGGAGACGTGTATCAGTTCCCAGGCATGTGCGAGTATAACCTGGTGTCTGACTGCCAAAGCCTCATTCGTATCTCTTCTATATTCCATGGTTTTGCATGCTCTGATCACATAACATTACTACTGACATAAAGTCCAAATGGCCACAAATATTAAGTCAAATGATCTAACAGTACATTTTTGTGTGGTCCTTTGTTAGGTGGAACTAGACTCCAAATATTCCAGTCGGACTTGTGGACTGTGTGGTGATTTCAATGGTGTTCCAGTTTATAGTGAGTTCATTGAATCTGGTAAGTCACTTTTACAGCCTGATTTCTTACTTTTCTCTACATAGTGATTATTTGACCAATTATGAACAGTATAAATGATTATGCCTAATGGATTCCGAATTTGATGAATCTCCAAGAGTTTTAAGAATAGCCAAGATCAAGTGTCTGTCTTATTTATTACAGGACGGAGGGTTGGCTATGCTGAGTTTGGTAATAAGCACAGAGTTCCCAACCCAACACATGTCTGCGAAGATCCTTTTGAAAACGACGATGAGCAAAATGTGGTGGACAAATGTGAAAAATTTGTAAGTTACAGAAGAAAGCTGATCATTCCAGATTAAATTGTTAGTTACAACAGCAACTCGGAATTCTAGTATTGTTACTTAATATGGACCTTCAAGATGTTCCATGTCCTTTTCACAACAGTGGGCAGATTGTGCAGACCTTTTGGAGGATGAAAAGTGGTCTTCTTGTAGCTGGGTTTTGAACACAGAGCCATATATCAAGGCCTGTACGAACGATATTTGCTCGAGCCAACCTGAAGATGAAGACACCAGCATCTCTGCGCTCTGTGCGACTTTGTCTGAATATTCACGTCAGTGCTCTCATGCTGGAGGAACTCCACCGTCCTGGAGGACAGCAAACTTCTGTGGTAAGAAATGCCTTGATAATTCTGGTGAAAATGATAGGATTCTTCTCTCTTGAGCTGTTCCTTTGTTTTTATATCTTATTAATAGCAGTTGTAAAGACTCTGTGTGTCTTGTATTCCTATGCAGCCGTGAAGTGCCCCTACAATATGGTACATTCTGAAAGTGGCTCCCCCTGTATGGACACATGCTTGCACAAAGACACAAATGCACTGTGTGAGGAACACAACAGTGATGGATGCTTTTGCCCGCCAGGTCAGTACCACTATTTATATAATATAAACCAAATTAATATAAACTACTGTTCAAAAGTCTGGGGTCGGTAAGAATTTTTTAAAGGAATCTTTTATTCAGCAAGGATGCATTACATTGATCAAAAGTTATAGTAAAGACTTATAAGGATAGATTTTGAATGTTACAAAAGATTTCTATTTCTATTTTTGAAGAGTAAGCAGCACAACTGTTTTCAGCATTAATGATAACGATAAGACATTTTCTTCTGAAGGATCATGTGACACTGTAGACTGGAGTAACGGCTGCTGAAAATTCATATTTGCCCCACAAAAAAAATAAAAATAAAAAATAATATACTTGATGATGTGGTTGGAAACAGCATTGGTATCAGCATCTGGAAAGAAAAAGAAAAAAGAACCAACTAGCTGATGACTGTTGTGAAGATCATAGTTTCATCACCTGACCCTGATGCTATCAGTGCCATTGATGACTTGCCTTAGAAGTTACAAAATATTTTCAGTTGTGAAAAAGTGACAAAGTTGATTTACTTCCCTTCATGGTGACTTGAAGTTCAACTTGATCAGCTTTGCATAAATTTGTGGATTGACTGTTTTAGTACAAATGTAAAAGTGACCAAATCAGGAATTATCTGAGAATGTCATTTGAATTACTGAATTTTAATTGAGTTTGCAAACATAATTGTAATTAAAATTTAAGGACACATAATTCAAATGTAAATGCATTGAAATAACTGCTGTCAGCATAGATTTGATGTTTTACATACATATATTATTTCAGCGATCAACACTTGAAAAGCAACTTAAAGAAATTTGTATTTAATAAATTATATTTTACTTTATGGGCTGTGGTAGAAGAACAAAAATTCCCAAAATGCTCTAAAATTTTTTCAAAAACAAAACTTTTCATATTTCTTTGTTTTCTCCCATTTTTTGCAGTCTATCCCAGTAACCATGTCAACAACATCTGTAGCATGTGGGGAAACTTCCACTTCAAGACGTTCGATGGAGACGTGTATCAGTTCCCAGGCATGTGCGAGTATAACCTGGTGTCTGACTGCCAAAGCCTCATTCGCCAGTTCTCAGTTCACGTGAAGAGAACAGAACACAGCACTGGCCCAAACATCAGCAGGGTGTCGATTACCATCAATGACATTGGCGTTGAACTGACCGAGAAACAGGTCGTAGTCAATGGAGAAAAGTACGATTCTGGGGAACCCAACCAACTGTTAAAGGCTTAAAAATGTATTCTGTTTGGTCAATCTTTCATTTGAATCTTTTCTCTTGTTCAGAGTAACGCTGCCCGTGCATGTCGCAGGGATCCTTGTGGAAGAGAACTCAATTTACATCAGACTCTATTCCAAAATGGGCATCACTGTCATGTGGAACAAAGAGGATGCCGTTATGGTGAGTTTATAGGCTAGTCTGCCTCATCATGAGCTCAAAACAACTCTTATGAAAGTACATCTTTAACCAGGGCTGCCAACTCTCAAGAATCAAAAGATATGATTCATGCAATTCACACTTTTCTCACACTCTCATGCCACACCGCCATTTTCCCACGCAGTGAAAACCACCCTAAGTTGAAAATGTAATATATCGGTGAAGCAGATTTGGTAAACTCTCCAGTACATATTTGTGTTTACGCTCTGGACAACATCAAAAGTTTCTATTTTCAACTTGTTTTTTGTAGCATTAAGCAAAGTAGCCAATCACATACATATCTGTTGATTCTTGAGCACCTCTGATTGGCCATTCCATTCAAATGAGTAAGAATTCACTCACGGCTAAACGCCAGATTTTGACTGTTTTTTTCACTGTAACATGGTATAAATTAGAGGTTCATTGGTTATAAAGGAACTTTGTGAGATTGCGATGAACTGAAGTAAGTGACACCTTTTTAGTGATTATAAAGGAAGCGCTATTTGCGCACTTTATAGGCTAAATATAATCTGTTTAGAATTTGAATAATAGGTTTTTTTTGTGCTGCTAAGGGCCATATACCCTGTACAAGCAGTACAATTTCGGGAGTGACACATACATTCCCCATCCCTCACATAAATGCGGGATTCATTTTCAAAAGGGAGAAAAATATAATTTGTCAAAATAGATTAAGCAATGTAAATGCAGACTAATGGATTAATAGAAAAATTATTTTTTAAATGCACTTGCAATTATTTATAAAAGTAATGAGTAGTAAATCTTCCAATTCTCTCACTGTACATTGCTATTCTTGTTGTTGTAAAAAGTTAGGCCTAATAGTTTTGCAGATGACATCTCAAACACGGGCTGCATCCCAGCAGAAAAGTGTCAGTGCAAGCATGACCGCGTCTACAGCACAGGAGAGATCCTACGCGAAGATGAGGAAGAATGGTAAGAAAACACATTTCACTCAGTTCTCCTCATATTCCTAATATCCATATGTATGGCGCATTTTTTTTTATCCTAGTGCATTTTGTGTCCTTTCATGTATTTTACTACTCATATACAAGAAAAATATGTCTATTCATCAATATTACTGTTAACTGCATATTCATGACAATATGCTAAATTATGATGACACTGGATGAATAGGAAAAATGGCAGTTTCATAAATATATAAAAATATCAGAACTGTGATTTACCATGTTGGCATCTGAAGCTCATTGTTTTCCACGTCTGTTTGTAATTGTATTATTTAACTCAGCATATGTAAGGAGGGAAACTGGATCTGTACAAGTATTCCCGGCCCTGGCCTGTGCTCAGTAGAAGAAGGATCTCACTTTACCACCTTTGACGGGAAAGAATTCACTTTCCATGGAGACTGCAACTATGTGCTCTCAAAAGTATGTGTGTTTTAGTTGCTAACTACACCTTATTTAATTGCTAAGACATGTTGGGATTTATGGTTGTATCCATGCTTTATGAATATGTGAAATTCTTAATAAATGTCAACTTCTGCATTTGTTTTTGTAGGACTGTAAGGAGTCTAAGTTCATCATATTGGGTCTGATTGTTCCATGTTTTACTCATCAAACTGACACCTGTTTAAAGTCTGTTGTGGTGCTGTTTGACAACGATATGAAAAATGTGAGTACACCTCTCTACTTCCACAATCTTGCATATTTGGCTTTTATAGCAAACAGGTCTTTTTGACAGTCTGAGTGAGTAATGAGATGTACATGTTACAGTGCTGTTCAAAAGTTTAAGGTCAGTGAAATGTTTCAAATGTTTATGCTTACCAAGGCTGCATTTATTTGATTGAAAATACCGTCAAAACAGCAATATTGTTAAGCAACTGTTTTCTATTGTAATATATTTGAACGTAATATATTCCTGTGATTACAATGTATGATTTTTCAATCTTCAGTGTCATGTGATTCTTCAGATATCATTCTAACATGTTGATTTGGTGCTGCAGAAACATTTCTTATCATTAATGTTGAAAACAATTGTGCTGCTTAAACAGTTTCAAGATTGCTTGAGGAATAGAAATAAAACAGCAGACTTTACTGTTATTTTTATTCAACGTAATGTGTCCTTGGTTAATAATAATAGTATTTTTTTTTTTTATTATTATTGAAAAGCAGTGTAGCTTGTGAAAAATAAAACGGTGATCTTTCTTCTTCAGCCTCTGATTATTAAAGCTGACGGGACGGTGCAACACAATGCAGAAATTTCACTTCCTTACATGACAGGTGAGGGAGAAGAAGCTTTTTATTTCTTTTCTGTGTTTTAGAGCCCATGTGCTAAAATATATATATATATGAAGTGTTTTTCAAGCTCTTCGACTCTTTTTCTCTCAGCTGGCTTCACGGTGTTCATGCCGTCATCGTTTCACATCATGCTTCAGACCACCTTTGGGCTGCAGGTGCAGGTACAGCTGGTGCCTCTTATGCAGGTGTACATCACCGTGGACCAAAGCTTCCAGGGCAAGACTTGTGGTGAGACCTCGGTCTTAAAAAGCACGAAAAAACATCTGAATTATAAAGTGAATCCATCATGAAAACCAATGTTGTGGCATTTGTTTGTTTCTGCAGGTCTTTGTGGAAATTTTAACAAAGTGCTGTCAGATGATCTGAAGACCCCTCAGGGAGTGGTGGAGGGTACAGCGGTTTCCTTTGCAAACGCCTGGAAGGCGCAGTCCAACTGCCCCGACCGTACTGAGAGACTGGACGACCCCTGTTCCTACAGCAGTGACAGCGGTGAGAGACTTTTTGCTTCCAAAGTCAATGTGGCGAAGTCAGACCGGTTTGTTTTTAATTCTGTATTCGTCTTGTTTTATACATATACCAAAGTGTTTATAAGTGGATAGGATAGTAATAGATTTGGAAGCACTCAAGAGCACTAGTGGGTGTTCACGTATGACTGAATATAACCACATCAACAGGTGTCAGTATTCTTCCAATACAGTTGCATCAGCCAGTATTTCCACATAAAATTACGTGGTGCCCATGTTTAATACTATATCTGTTTTGTTCTTAAGTAGGAGTTTTAATTAAATTCCCATATTTTATGATGCTTTTAGAGCACTTTGCTGAGCACTGGTGTTCCAAGATGAAGGACAAGGAGAGCCTCTTTGCCAAATGTCACACCACTGTCAATCCAGACAGCTACTACAAAGTATGATCTTAAACAGTAGCGGATTATATACAGACAAGCAGTATTTTTTAAGCTTTTGCAACTAAGCAACCCAGTGTTCATTTAATATTATTTATATTGTATTATAGTATATAGTAATACGTTTTATGCTTACATGTTGCGTTTTAGTAATTGCATGTGCTTTTGTTTTTTAAATATTTCTATTTAGCTTTAAATCTAGGACTTTAAAAGTTTAATTCAATTTATCCCAGCTTCCACAACATGCAGTGACACAACATGTCTATGTATTTTTTAGAGATGCAAATACTCCAGCTGTACCTGTGAGAAGAGTGAGGACTGTCTGTGTACCGTGTTCTCCGCGTACGCCCGGGCCTGTGCAGCTAAAGGAATAATCCTCCAAGGCTGGAGAGACATTGTGTGCAGTAAGATGGCTGAAAATGATTGATTCTGTAGATGGATTGATGACTGGACAATTTCAGTGAACAAAACATCAAAAGTTTGTTTTTGAAACGGGGCCTTGAACCTTTAGAATTAAATTCAAATGTATTTAATATTAAATTTTTATAATACAGAGAATAGTGCAAAGGAAAAAAATGTATACTGCAAGGAATGTGAGATTATGCATAAAGCATAATGAGAGTAAACTTTAAAAGTCAGGACTAGGCCTTAGTTAAATTAAGATACTTTTACAAAAATGCCTTAGAAGAAAACATTACAGGTGTGCATCTTGACACAGAACAATGACACGGACATATTTTAAGATATGTCAGAGCAAGATATTTTCAGTTGAGACAGCTTAAACATGCATTTTAGTCTGGGACTAGCTTAAGCCTTGTCTGTGAAACCGGGGGCCTGCGTTGTAAATATTTTCCAGGTAATATACATTTTAATTCAGTGTTAATGAAGTTGATGCCAACTTCATATCTTTATAATATAATGCTTACCATTTTTCACACACTATGTAAGTATATAAAACTATATAGCTGCCTTTATATTTTAGGAAGGGCATCCTTTACAAGAGGGATCATCATATTTGGGTGTCTCCAAAAACTTGAAAATCCCTTATCTAACCTAGAAGATTAGAAGAATGCTTATGTCATTTTGCTACATGCATCTTTAAGACACAATCCCTTTCAAACTGATCCCCACAGAGAAATATACAGAGAATTGCCCGGCCTCGCAGAACTACTCCTATGAGCTGCAGAACTGTCAGCGTACCTGTCTGTCTCTCGCCTCTGAGCGCCAAAGCTGCAGCGTTGACTTTGTGCCCGTTGACGGATGCGCATGTCCAGAGGGACTCTACCAGGATGAGAATGGACTGTGTGTACCTATGGAAAAATGTCCATGTCACCACAACGGACAGAAAATTCATTCCGGCAAGTCTGTCACCATTAGGGATGAACACTGGTAAGTGAATGATAATATACTGTGGGTATTAGTGGAGTAGTTATACAAGAAAGGTAAAAACTATGAATTTAATATACAATTTGATCTTATTTCTCTGTCCAGTGTTTGCATGAATGGAAAACTTCACTGTCGTTCCTGGAAAACCAAAATTCTGGGTATGAAAAGTTATCTACTACATATGTTAAATAAGTTTGTTTTCAGTTTATATAGACTACTATCATTAGTACTAGGCTATCATGGCATCTGTAACCAAGGCATTATAAAGTTATCTAGTCAAATGTGATGTTGAAATTAACTGGCTAACCAAGGTTTTAATAACCAACAAACAGTGAACAATAAATAGTGGTTGATTAATATGGATTTTTTAATGGCCAGTGCTGATATGTTAGAGAACAAGGTGGCAGAAGGCAAATATAAATGATGCTGCACAAGTTAACTTTTAACTTTTATCACAATTGTTAATTTTTTTTACAATTGCTCGATGTCTGTCGTTAACAGTTTTTGAATATGGTTTCTGATATTACAAGTACATGAATGATGCAGCGTCTGATATCTTTGGCAGGATGTTCCTCTCCGAAGGTTTTCTTCAACTGCAGTACAGCAGCCCCAGATGAACATGGATTGGAGTGTGCAAAGACTTGTCTGCAACAGGAAGTTGACTGTGTGAGTCTATAGATTCTAAGATCTCTTCTCTCTTTTTCTTTCCCAAAGTCTATCACTTGATTTTGCTGATGGTGTTATTTGTGTGGATAACAGCATTTTGCTTGTACATAATGTTTTCTTCCCTTCTTTCCAGTTCTCACTGGACTGTCAGTCTGGCTGCCAGTGTCCTTTTGGTCTATTGGATGATGGGAGAGGACATTGTGTTAAACCAGACTACTGCTCGTGTAAACATAGTGGACTGGATTACGCACCAGGAGCTGAGATAAGCATAGACTGCAATCAATGGTCTGTAAAACTGGTGTTATTTTAGTATACTATTGTAGTTTTTAATGATATTTTGTATTTACTTTTTTTTTTGTTCAGTTAATGTTTATTTTATTTCAAGTAATGAAAATATTTTTAAATTGTTTACATTTATTTTTTGTTTACAGTATTAATCCAGTGTAGAACAACAGCCATTACCATTGCCACAATAAAGTAACATTATCATAAAACCCCTAAGTAATGAGGAAATACAACCTGGCCTTTAATGATCTATAGTATAATACTGTAGAACCACACAAGATTTGAGTCTCCCTCTATATTTACAGCACTTGCCAACGGGGAAAATGGAAATGTACACATTATAAGTGTCCAGGCATATGCGCCATTTACGGCAGTGGACGTTATATAACTTTTGATCAGCAAAAATTCAGCTTTAGGGGAGATTGCAGTTATATTGCTGCTCAGGTATGTGCATCTGGTCAGAGGCTTTATTTAAAAAAATTACAAATAAAGCTCTGCCTTCAGGAGGCAACACAGTACGTTCTCTTGTTTTGCAGAACAAGTGTGGAAATAAAACTGGCAACTTTCGTGTGATCACTGAGAATATGCCTTGTGGAACAACAGGAACCACATGTTCAAAGGCTGTCAAAATACTTTTGGGGGTAAGGCCACAGGCGTAGCATGCTATGCAGTTTTATGTTTGGCAAAATATTCAGTACTATGTGGTACATTCAGAGAAAAATAAAACGTTTTTAGCTGTTCAGCATGTTAAAGTTGTTACGTGTAGTATAAGACAATAATAGTGTACAATTTTGTTCATTTTAAAGGCCAATGAAGGATTTCCTCCCCTCATTCTCTTCAACATTTGAAAGCAATACAGAATCAATGTCTGTCATTGGATTCTATAGTTGTTTTACGATGTTTGCGACCGTTTTTTGTTTACTTCTCTCTCACACAGAGGACTTTGCTGCAGCTTGTTGATGGAAATGTAAAGGCCACTGATATTGCAAGGGGTCCAAAGATCGAGTACACTGAGAAAATCATTGGGATGTACCTTGTCATTGATGCTAACATTGGACTGACAGTTTTGTGGGACCGCAAAACCACCGTCCGCATCATTCTGCAACCTCAGCTCATGGTGAGTTGGAGCCATGACTCATGATCTTCAATTTTTTATGTTTTGAACTTACGCTTCCAAACAATTGGCAACAGTCCCTGAATTTGATTTATTTGTAGCGCAACATCTGTGCTTTATTGTTTTTTGACAGGGAGACGTTTGTGGTCTGTGTGGAAATTTCAATGAAAATGGAAAAGATGACTTTACCACTCAGGGAAATTTGCCAACTTCAAATATCCTGGAGTTTGTGGACAGCTGGAAAGGAAGCATATGTCCGGATGCAAAACCAGACTACGACCCATGCCTTGAGACCCCCAATCGAGAGACATGGGCAAAAATACAATGTAGCATCATCAAGGATATCAATGGTCCATTCAAAGTCTGCCATAACAAGGTACAGCTGCAAAGGCTTCTGAGTAAATAAATGGAGTTCCCTATAATGTGGTGGTTGCCGTGATTTTGCCAAGGAAGACATGTTCCTGGATCAACATCTTTTGTTGATCCAGGATCAACATTACTGTCCAAAAATATAGACTAAACCCAATCCCTACCCCTAAACCTAACCCTACCCATAATTTATTCCTAAAATCAAGGGCGTAGAAGCACCTAACCCTGATCGTAAGCCTAACACAGATATTTCCTGAAAAGCTATCCCTCAATTCTGATTGGTTAATTGGAATGTTGTTCCAGGATCAACAAGGATGTTGATCCAGGAACATGTTGTACTTGGTGAAATCACGGTCATCATAATGTGGTATACAAGAATCATACATATTTTTAAGGATGGAAATGCATGTTCCCACAGGTGGAACCAATCCCTTATTATGAGAACTGTGTGAAGGACTCGTGTGCATGTGACACAGGTGGAGATTGTGAGTGCTTCTGTACAGCTGTGGCAGCTTATGCTCAAGCCTGCAATGAGGCAGATGTTTGTGTGAACTGGAGAACACCTGAGATCTGCCGTAAGCATCTTTAACTCTAGTGCACATCTTAATCTGTAATCTTTTAATGTGATTATTGCAGATTCTGAATTTTCAGCTACTGTGTTTTCACAAAAAAGATAATGTGAATAAATTGATTGCCTGATCATTGCTTGAAGTGATTTCTTTCTTTTAACAATGTACTGCAGTTTTATTGAATTTCATTTAGTTCAACTGTACACATTCATACTTCTGTCCATGTTTCTCTGTCAGCTGTGTACTGTGACTTCTACAATAATGGAACAGAAGAGTGCATATGGCATTACAATCCTTGTCATACACCTTTCTACAAAACCTGTCTCAACCTTAATGGTACTCACAGTAATAACAGTTTACCCCTTCTGGAAGGTGAGTTGACATCTGGTGCACGCTAGTTTGCATTTTTCAAGACCGATTATGTACACTGGATATTTCTGGACCATTTATTTAGTGATAAACTGGGATTAGAAATGGTTCAAGGAACGAAAACCATTAATGAACAACATTTTTGGTGGAAAGTAATAGAAGACATATTTGTTTTGTTGTAATTATACCAATATTGATCTTTATCTCTTATACCTCTCTTTCTTAAGCACTTTCTAATTCCAAAATTACCCCACAATCTATAGGGAAAGACAATATTTGTACGTTAAGCATTTATTCTTGCATAAAGCCTGGTTTATATGTGACACATCCATGTGAGCACAAAGGTGCGCGCGGCAAAAATTATGTCATCGTGGTGTGGGAGGTCGTGCATGTTGAGTGTGCTAGACCCCATTTTGCGTGGCATTGTGCACGGCATTTTTTGTAACCTTGTGCTTGCGGCTCCGCTTCCAAAGATGCACAACTTCAAGCCGACTCTGGCCAAGGTGGCATATCTTTACTGGCATCTTTATGAATCGGAAGAAGCTTGATGTGGTGTTGAAACTCCATCAGGTGCTTTTTGAGTCTTTGAGGGACAAAATACGTAGAATTTATTGCAAACAGTATCTAGGGAATATTGTAAACAAGGCACAGCGAAGCAATCTTGATCGGCCCCGATACCGATCCGTGAGAGAGGCTCAGGACTTCCCTATTAACTACAGGACTGCTTAGAAATGTTCATAAACCTTCAAATTTCTAATAAAGTGATCTAGTGCAATGTAATTTTGTTATTAACAATAAAGTATGTCATTAATGGGTTAGTTCACCCAAAAATTTAAATTTGCATGTGATTTACTCACCCTCGAGGCATCCTAGGTGTATATGACTTTCTTCTTTCAGACGAATCCAATCGGAGTTATATTAAAAATTGTCCTGGCTCTTCCAAGCGTTATCATTGCAGTGGGCAAGTGTTTCTGTTCAACAGTCCAGAGGAGCCAGGACAATTTTTAATAAAACTCCGATTGGATTCGTCTGAAAGAAGAAAGTCATATACACCTAGGATAGCTCGAGGGTGAGTAAATCACAGGAAAATTTTCATCTTTGGGTGAACTAACCCTTTAAGTAAAATTATTAAACTAAATATAATTAAAATAATAGAACTTGTATAATAATTCAACTAATAGCAATCTCTCTTGCCAGTAATTCACAAAACCATTTGTGATCATGACTCACCAGTTAAGAACTGATGATGTATGTGTAACTATATTTATTTATTTATTTATGCAGGATGTTATCCAAAATGTCCAGAGGATAAGCCTATTTTTGATGAGCAAAATCAGATCTGTGTGGAGACATGTATACCGCCACCAGAGTCAGAGTCTACTACAACACCAGAACCTACCACATCATCTACTCCTACACCGACAACTACTACAATGTCTACTACAACAACACCAGAACCTACCACATCATCTACTCCTACACCGACAACTACTACAATGCCTACTACAACACCAGAACCTACCACATCATCTACCCCCACACCGGCAACTACCACTAAGTCTACTACAACACTGGAATCTACCACATCATCTACCTCTACAACAACAACTATCACATTTACTTCAACATCAACTACGCCTACACCATGTATATGTATATGTTTGTGGTCTGACTGGTTTAATGAATATCATCCTGATGTAGGAGGGCATGACTTGGAGACTTATGAAAACATTAGAGAAAGTGGAAAAGAGATCTGTGAACAGCCAGTAGATATCGAATGTAGGGCTGTGGGCCAACCTGACATGAGCTTTGATGATTATATTCAGGAATCAAATCAAGTTGCCCAGTGCAATGTTTCATATGGATTGGTGTGTAAGAAAGAACAACAGAATGCCCGCCCTTAAACAACAACAAAGTCTACTACAACAACACCAGAACCTACCACATCTTCTACTCCTACAACAACAACAACAACAACAACCAAGTCTACTACAACAACACCAGAACCTACCACATCATCTACCCCTACACCGACAACTACCACAAAGTCTACTACAACACCAGAACCTACCACATCATCTACTCCTACACCGACAACAACAACAACAACAACAAAGTCTACTACAACAACACCAGAACCTACCACATCATCTACTCCTACACCGACAACAACAACAACAACAACAAAGTCTACTACAACAACACCAGAACTTACCACAACATCACCAGAACCTACCACATCATCTACCCCAACACCGACAACTACAACAAAGTCTACTACAACAACACCAGAACCCACAACGTCAGCTACCCCTACAACGACAGCTACCACAAAGCCTACTACAACAACAACAGCATTTACATCTACATTGTTGGTTTCCAGTACTACACCTACCCCTACACCTACTCCTACACCAACTCTACCTTGCGAATGTCCAGAATGGGCCAAAAATGTACTATTTAATATACTTTCTTTTAATTTTTGTTTCAAGGGGTCATGAAATGCAGTTTCAGATTTTTATATTGTTTCTTGAGGTTAGTTTATAAAGATTTTTTACATCAGAGGTCCAATATTTGTAAAAATGATAATTTTCCATCCACATTTTCACTCTCTGTGAAAACCACTCAATGTCAAGGGGCGACCTCTTGCAGAAACTGACGTAAATGCACACTGTTTTGATTGGCTAAATCTATTGCACCATATCCATGTCCTGCTTTACAGCATGTCATGTATTTTGATACTTGAGATGGCAAGCACTGTGATAAGGACATAAATGTTTGAGCCAGAGTCATATACCAAGGCAGTCAAAATTTATACAACGCAACCACAACATGTATCACTGTTGTGATTGATGAACAGACATAACCTCCATGATTACATACAATTACATATGATGTACGTTAAGAGGCGGGTCGAGGACATCACGATTCTCCCGTTTTCAGAAGGGTAGAAAAGAATAATTCATATTTTAAACTGGGCAGTTAGTTTTGAGTTCTGAAACTTATTACTGTAGAGGAACCTCTTATATGTGTTAATATCAAGAACATTTTGATTCTCCATGTCATGACCCCTTCATGTAGCGTAATTTTTTTTCTACTGGAGGAATGTACTTTTATAAGTATCCATGTTGTCATTTAAATATTCCAAAGAAAATAACATACACTACATTGTAATTTTACATGTATCAGTCTTTCTAATTCTAGTACTTTTCTCATTATCACCAGTTCAGTGGGATCTTCTACCTTTGTCACTGCTATATGGCGAGGTGCACAGAAGACTGCATCATAGAAGTTATCCCATTGGAATGCCCTCCACTGCAGAACATCACCTGTGAAAATGGCAAAGACCCAGTGCTTGTCTACGATGAGTATCACTGCTGCCAATATTATGCATGTGACTGTGAGTAAACTGGTATTCACAATCTTTATATTTGATTCCGTAATTATTTAAATTAATAGCAATGATGTCCTGTCAAGCCCAATATGCTTTGTATTCAGTGCTTGAATTTTGAATATGTTCCTTCAAAATTACTATAATTGAACATTTTAACTGAAAACAATGCAGTCATGATCTGTGATTTCCTTGCATCTCATTGAGTCTCTTTGCTTTGATGTGGCGCAAGAAAATAAAATAGTCTCTGTCACAGGTTAAATGACAAAGTGGTTATGATGACATTTTCAATTCTTCAAATGTCAATTGTTATTTTCAACAATCAATGCACATAGGATCAGATTTACTAAACAGGTCAAATTAACATTAGACCGCAATCCCATAAAAGCACAAATGGGAGTGGAAAGTTGTGACTGATCTACTGCACAAATTAAAGAACACAGAAGCAGCCAGCTCATTTCCATACTGACAATGCAATATAGGAACAGGAACACAAAATAAAAAAAAGTATGTGGCTTGGTAATCGATATATTCAGATAACATTGTCATTCCAAATAAATTAACACAAGTGGAGAAAATTCTCACTTCTACCATGAGCTCTGTCTTCTCTGTGGCCTCCTCCTATCAGCAACTATCGCAGCCATGTCAAGCACAAAATGGATTAAGATGTGTTTTTTTTTAGCATTAAATAATGGCACAAATACCAGTAATTTGACTACCGCAAACCTTAGTAAATCATGCATGATTCATTTAAATACTCTTCTCTGAGAAATTTTGCATCTGAGAGGAAAACTCCTACAAATGCGCATGCAATAAGATCAGCCGCAAAAATTACTGTCCACACCTTTCATTGCTTATTTTTCACTGTATGTCATTAGTAAAAAAGCAGATTTACTAACAGCTTGTTCCAGGCAAACCCTCTTTTTGCAGTTAAAAAAGAGGGTTTGCCTGGAACAAGCTGTAAGTAAATCTGGCCCTTAGTGTTTACCAAAGTCAAGTAGCTTGTTCAGTTCAAATAAGTGAATGCTGTTTTTTGTTTTTTTGTTCACCCTCTCCTAATCATAGGCGTTTGTGAAGGCTGGGGTGACCCGCATTACCGCACATTTGATGGACACTTTTACAGTTATCAAGGAAACTGCACTTATGTATTAATGGAGGAAATCAGTCCTCGATTCAATTTGAAGATCGACATCGAAAGTGTCTACTGTGACCCTGTTGAGCATGTATCCTGTCCCAGATCTATAATTGTGTCTTACAACAATCTAGTCATAACACTCATAAATCACAATCTCATAGGAGGTGCAGACCTAGAGGTGAGACTTTCTAGATTTGGAATGAGTAACATGTTTTGTCTGCTTTACTAAGTATCCTAAAATTCTCCTGTCATAACAGGCTTTTGAGAACAACAAAAAGATACCACTACCATATACTCGTAATGGTGTGAGAGTTGTAAACTCAGGCCTAAACTTGATTCTGACTATTCCACTGCGGGGTGCTAATATAACATTTGGAGCCACAGGCTTTGAAGTCAGTCTGTCATACCATTTTTTTGGAAACAACACACAAGGTCACTGTGGTAAGTCAGTCACTCCCCATATTTTGTGTGGATGGTATATGAGGGATTTGTTTTTATGCATTGCCCATCTAAATTACTCCAAATTAATTCTCACTAAGGTACATGCAACAACAACCAGGCTGATGACTGCATGATCCCTGGAGGGATCTTGGTGGACGACTGTGCAGTGATGGCAGATTACTGGCCAGCCAGTGAAATTTGCACTCCAACTGCAAAAACTACATCTAAGCCTTGCCCAGTTAATCCTGACTGCGACCTCCTCAAAAGCGAGTGAGTGGGTTCTGTATGGTGGTTTTATTATACATTTCAATATACGGAGCTTCCAAAGTGATATGTACTACCTCTGTCTTTCTCAGCTTGTTCAAAGCATGCCATTCCCATCAGTCCCCCGAAAACTTCTTTTTAGCATGTGAATATGACAGTTGTCATATGAGCAACCCTGCCGTGGTGTGTACCAGTCTGCAGGCTTACGCGAGGTCTTGCTCTCAATTAGGGATCTGCATACACTGGAGGAACTACACTAACCTTTGCAGTAAGTTGCATTTTATTAATTTTATATCATACTGTTTCTTTAGGTTTTTCCACAACCCTTAACTTTGATCTCAGACTTTTGGAAGTTTAGAGATTATTGTGTGTAAGTGTTGTGTTTGTCTTTTCTTCCCCAGATATTGAATGTCCAGCAGATAAAGTCTTCAATCCTTGTGGTCCAGCTGAGCCACCAACCTGTGCTGATATGTATGCCAATTTATCCAAATTGTTTAAGAATTTAGATATTTGTGAATATGAAAGTTTACTGCTTTAGTATTGTAAACTGAGGGATGGGAATATGACAGGGAATAAAATAGTATTATTATGCAGATGTTTATTGGAATGAATCTCAGGTGATATGTATGTAATAAAAAAAGGTAAATACTTTGCAGACCTGGAGAGAACACAATTAAAGTGCCCACAGAGGGCTGCTTCTGTCCTGAGGGCTCATTGCTCTTCAACAAGGAGTCAGGAGCCTGTGTGAACAAATGCGGTGAGAAGCCTTCGAGTCAAGTTTATGTGCATGCTTATTGAGATGTACAAAAAAATCCTGCATGTCTTAGCTGCTTTTCAAGAACATATCTGTCTTATTTTTGTTTTTAGGATGCCTGGATGCCTCTGGAACACCACGTGAGGTATGGCGGTATTTAACAGTTTTAATTTAGCTGTTTACTCTATACTAGAATTTCAATTTCAAGGTCATTCCAAAACGTTTACCTGAATTCTCTTGATATTTTGTGACAGTTCGATGAAGTTTTTGTGTACAACTGTGAGGAGTGTATCTGTGACAAGGCCAGCAAATCTGTAAACTGTCCAAACTCCAAGAAGTGTCCTGATGTGAACCCTGCGAGCTGCACTGAGCCTGGCTTTGTGCTGGTCAATGCCACTGATCCTTCAGACCCATGCTGCAGCAAACAAGTTTGCAGTAAGTTTATGTATTTTTTTTTGTGTTTTTTTCAAGAGTACAGTTTTTTTGGTTTGGGTTCACATCTTTCTTTTGATTTGTGTGATGTAGATTGTGATGTCAACATGTGCCCACCTATGGATACAAAGTGTGCAGTCGGATATGCACCAGTCCTGGAAGTGCCTGATGGAAAATGCTGTCCAGTAATCAAATGCGGTATTGCTATTATTCACACTTCAGTTCATTTTTGTGACATTTGTATGCTTATTTTTGTCTCAGATGGTGTCTGTAATATCATTCTGTATAGTTTTATGTTTTGTTGTTTGCCACCTCAGAGCCAAAGAAAGTGTGCGTCCACAAAAATGTGGAGTATGAGGTAACTAAAATGACTGTAATAATACTTAAAAAAAACATTTCAGATTTTTTAAATATAATAATTAAGCTTTACATGCTCATCTCTTTCCCATCACTTCCCCCAGCCTGGTACCGACATCAATGTTGTTGACTGTCAGGAATGCAGCTGTACGTGGGACATGGATCCTAAAACGCAGTTCTTCCAGATCAAATGTGAATTTGTGCAGTGCAATAAGAAATGTGATCCTGTAAGTGGCATGACAAGCTTCTGATCAGCTTGTCTCAGGACTGAGTATAATTACATTGACTTCATTTGATGTTTATTTTTCACAGGGTTATGAATATGATGATACGAACTTTGACGACTGCTGTGGAAAGTGTGTGCAAACTCACTGCATTGTCAATGTCAATGGCGTCGATCATATATTGAAGGTAAAGTCAAATGTAAAAGGTTCAGTTGCCTTGAGGTGTGGAATATTCAGGTCAAATGGAACTTAAAGGAATAGATGTTCAAAAGTTAAATTAAGTATAAATGTAAAAAATGTAGTCTACCCACCCACCAATATTTTCTTTCTTTGAACACAAAATGAAACTGTTCATGTTGCTTTTTTTCCCCATACAAGGGAAGTGGATTGTCATCATCGAGGACAGAAAAGCATAATTAAAATACTAGTACTACAGTAAAGTTTTCTGAATTTGTGTGAGGAAAAGACCCAACTTTAAGCCATTATTCCTCAAAAATCTCATTCCTCCTAACAAACCTAACATTTTAGCAGTGAATTTGACCTTGTTCTCTATTTGTTCGTAGGAAGGAGAGACTTTGCCCTCTGCAAATCAGGGCTGTGATAGAATCACGTGTACTAAAGTTAATGGACAGTTCATCACCAACAAATACACAGTCCAGTGTCCTCCTTTCAACATTTCCAACTGCCAGCCTGTCAGTACTTCATGTATCATACAAACACACATTTACATGTTAGACTGACTGATCATGGTGATTAAATCACATTGATGACATTCTGCCTTTGTGATTCGCTCTACAGGGCACTGTCCAGCTGTCATCTGATGGCTGCTGCAAAGTTTGTGAGTGTTTTTAAAAAGAAAACAATGTGAATTTTGGTTGATTTATATGTCTATGTGTGTTCAATTGTCTGTGTTTGAAGGTTCGGACCAAATGAAGGGATGTCAAGTACAGACCGTTCTCGATTACATAAATCACAACGACTGTCAGTCAGAGAAGAGAATGGACCTGACATTTTGTGGTGGAGACTGTGCTAGTTTTAGCAGGTGAGTAGACACAGACTCTGTTATGTCATAATTGGCATCCTAACTTAAACAGACACTCATAAGTGACCAGTTTGAAATGGTTTACATGTGTTTTTCTCTCTTTCTCACATTTGTAGGTACACTGAACCTGGATTGTCCTCTTGTACCTGTTGCCAGGTCACTCGCGCAAGCAATCGCACAGTGAATCTTAGTTGCATAAATGGAGACATAGTGGCCTACGCGTACATCCATGTTGAGGAGTGCGCCTGTAGCAGAACTAACTGTTATAAAGCGGGAGTGGGCCACACACTCATTGAAGACAGCCAAAGAAAACGCAGTTTAGGACTTCCGTGAGCAGCAGCAGTAAATCATCCACACGAAGTCACTGAAATATGAATTCTGTGAAAAACCTTGTTTGGAAATTAATTTAAATTGCACATGCTTTGTTTAACATTTCTAAAACTTGATCTATAGGTCTCTTTTTTTCTTTTCTTAAAAATGCGTACTATTTTGCTTGTGTTTGAAATTAAAAGCAATAAAAAGCATCTTAAACCTAAACGCATTCATATTGAGTCTTTTATTTATTTTATAAAATTGTATTTATTCATATTTTGTTTATGATCACATATTTGTATATACATATATAATATTATTTACACCATTTGGCCATAACCTTGTAGATCATGGCCAAATGGTGTAGATCATGGCGCTAGTGACACAATCTACTTTTTGAGCTACAGAAATGGTATAAAAGTGAATAACCAAACAATGTAGTCAGTAGGTTCAAATCATGTTTTACTAGCAGCGAAATTGCATGATACAATTAAATTGCTTAAAAAATGTTATGATCGTCAGAGCATGTAAAACTTTGAGATCACAAGCGTGTCCTAGCTGAAATTATCTAGTGCATCTAGTGTATGCTTTTATATTGCTGGTTTATGGACAGTCATGTGACAGTTTGTCCACTGTCATTGCATGACAGGTTTGCTCTTTCAGTAATAAAAACCATAATCTTCAGTTACTGACATCTCATGTAATATGATTTGTCAGCATGTTGACTTTGTTATCCTGTTTTTAAAAGAGCAGCTTTCACTATGAGAATGTCAGAATCCCTCCTAAACTTTAGCAGTACATTAAAGATCCTGTATTTCAAAAATATATGGATTAATCATGAAAAAAAAAAAGTAATATACCAGATCTGAAACTTGTACTGACAGGATGTCTAATGCATCCTACAAGAAAACAGAGCATTAATCAAGTATCAAAATCTCTTAACAAACATGAACAGGTTGTGTTTTGGGAGGTAGATCCCATAGGAAAGAAAAATCAAAAGTGAGATCTCTTTAACATCTCAAATGTTTCTCCTAGACAGAAATGAGGTTACTTTAAGATCGAATTGAGATTTTTGCTTGAGTCTCCTGCTTCTCAAACTTGTCTCCTGAGATAAAAACTCTAAGAATCTTACAATGGTCTCCTTTAAAGAGATCTCAACAACATCACACACTGTGTTTAGATTTTTTGCCTTTAGCTAAATAATCTTGGGGTCTCATATCTGTCTCCTGTAAAGCTTTAGAAGAGATCTCAACAATTTTACAAAGTGTGCATCAAGTGAGGTACTTGAAAGGCACTAAATAATTTGAGAAGCAGGAGACTCGAGCAAAAGTTTCCATTCAATCTTAAGGTAACCTCATTTCAGATCTCTTTTTTTTATTTTATTTTTTTTACTCAATGAGACATATAAGAGAATCAGCCCTTAGTATCCTGAGCGTAAAATAGCCTCTGTCAGAGCCATAGCCTTGTGGACAGCACATCGATGTGAAGGTACAACTGCACCTCAGACAGCATGGGTTTGAATCCCATCTAAAGGTACTTTCCTGCTCCTGTTCAGTTCTCACCTGTCCATTTGTTTCCTGTCTCTACTCCTACTGTCCTGCCCATTAAAGGTGAAAAACCCCATTGCAATCAAAAAAGCAACCCCTGAGCAGTGAGATGTTCTTACATTTTTATAATGGAGTCTTGCAAGAGATTACAGCAAGACAATAAAGAGATCTCCCATGTTTCTCACACATTTCTCTCCCATTGTCATTTTGGATTCCTTTCTTTCAGAATTTTCTCATGTCTCAGTTGTGTCTACTTTATTTCTCCTAAGGATTTTTAGAAGAAACATCTGAGACACTGTTGAGACTAAAATTAGAAATACATCAGAATCACAACTACATCTCCTGAGGTTAGAAAGAGCAACCACTGAGCAATAAAATATTACTATAATGGAGTCTTGATAGAGATTGCAGCAAGACAATAAAGAGATATTCTATGTTTCTTCCACCACATTCTCTGTTTTTACTCTTTTTTTCTCAAATGTTTCTCATGTCTCATTTGTGTCTAATTCCATTTCTCCTAAGGAATTTTAGGAGAAACATCTGAAATACTGTCGATACTAAAATGAGAGATATATAATTAATAATTTATGCATTTAGTAGAGGCTTTTATCCAAAGCAACTTACAGTGCACTCAGACTGTACATTTTTTACCATTATGTGCTCCCTCGGAATTGAACCCACAACCTTTTGTGCTGCTAACGCAATGCTCTATCACTGAGCCACAGGAACCAGAATGTATGAGAATCTCATCTAAGTCTCCTGAGCTTAGGAAAAGCAACCACTGAGCAATACATTTTTCCTATGGGATAATGTGTAAATTCACTTAATGTAATAATTGTAATGGCCATGTGATGTATCTACACTGTTAAGACTTTTTATCGTATTTTTGCGGTAAATTACTGGCAGCACTATTGCCAGTAAGTTACTGTAACTACCCCTTTACAGTAGCTTATCGCAAGTTCATTTTACAGTATAATGCCCTTACCGCAATCTCATTTTACAGTATGATGGCCTTACCGCAATTTAAATTTACAGTGAAATACCCTTACTGCAACTTAATTTTACAGTACTATATCCTTATATCCTTACTGTAACTTAGTTTTACAGTATAATAATATTACAGTAATTTTACTGTAATTTATTTTATAAAACCTTTGAATATTTT